GAGAAGGGTGGGGGGGGGGGGGGGGGGGGGGGGGGGGATACGACATTCTTGGCTTTTACGATTCGTATGGTCGATAAAATCGTGACTGGCAGTCCGACTCTGTCGGCGTCGACGGGGAAGAAGAAAGGAGTGTCAATGAAGTTTGATTTTTGCCGTTGATCAAGAAAGGCTCTATTTTCGCCGGGAGCAACATCCGCGTCTCTCGAAAAGGCAATCTCGAACGAATTTTACGATAATTGCTGAAAGATTACGACGCGTGCCTAACACTTTTTGATTATTACGGGTCTCGTCGGAGTCCCGACTATTATTACACGGCCATCCGCCGTTTTCATTATTTGCTTACTATGTGATTCACCAATGAATCGCAATCGTTCTCTTTCCGTTTCCTACACAATCTCAGATATTATATTACACATAGAAGAATTCGTTTGAAAAATAGTCCTGATCATCGAAGCGCTACTTAGCAATTAAGCCGCGATGTTCGAAGGAATAAAATTCTGTATCGTGAATTCAACGGAATTAAATTCACATCACCGTAATAAAAAAAAAAAAAAAAAAAAAAAATATTCAGGCTGTCTACTTAAATCTTGTAAAAACATTCCCTGAAAATTTCCTGATTTCCTAAGTATATTTTTGTTTAAAATTTCAGGTAAAAAATATTTTTAAAATTTTTTTGATGCCACTTTTTAAAATAATTTTTTTTATTGTTTCTAGTGCTTTTCAGCCTTACAAAGGAAGGAGCCATTTAAATTTCAATACTAGATGTGCAAATGTACTGAAAAAAACTGAATATTTTTCGTAAGATAAATATTTTTCACCATAAGATTTTTATTTTTTTGTCATTAAAAATTACAATAAAAAATACTGCGTATATGTTCAATATTTTGTTAAGACATTGAATATATATAAACAGAAATATATAATTTACCCTGAAATTTATATGCAAATATAGATGACAAACTTCGTAAATCGAAATTCCGATACAATCGCGTCGAAAGCGAAGAAACTTGTAATCTGTCGATTAACTTGTCAAAAATATTATTTTCTGAATGTATTCTTAGTACCAACAAGTTTTCCTTGCGGATCTTTCTTGATCTTTCAGCTTTAATATTATTAATACGCGCGATGTAACAAAACTATCACGTTTTTTTTTTTCAGCGCAGCTGTTTCATTTGTTGTCATTTTTTTCTTATATCATTTTTCTTTGGCGAAAATCTGATCAGGTGTTATCTATTTTCTCTACCTCTTAATTTTTAACGTTAGATACTTAAATAAATTTAAATAAATGGATCTCGCGAATTAAAATAAAGCTTAAAATAAAATAAAACTTAAAATAAAACTCACTCGGAATATAATGCAGATGAAAATTTTATGTCCGTATTTGCGAAGTTTTAATTTATAAGAAACTCTCATCTTATGTATCAAAGCCGAAGAATCGCGAGTACAAATTTCGACGCGGACGGAAATTAATTTATCTTTGCACGTGGTACCCCGAAATATCCCATTGTATGCCCGACATTCGTTCTTTCGTCCGTTCGTTTCGTGCTTTAAACATGTCGACATGTCGACGCGTACATTAGCCTCTTATAGCCGCGAGATTCGCACTTCTGAATTGAATTACCCTCTCGATGAACCTTGACCGCCTCGAGATTGAAATTCAAAGTTGGATTTTCGGTGGCTGCCATCAGATTGCCGTCGGATGCTCCCCCTTCCCCCCTCCACCGCCTCGCTAGCGAATGTATAATGTAACCAAGAGCCTCCAATGTGATACCGTCCCTTTTCGAGATCACCCTGGGATTGTTCGCCAAAAAATTCACACAATTTTCCTATCTTTTATGCTCTTCACGGAAGAATTCATAAAAGGAATACACGAATAATTCAAATTTGCGTGAGAGATAAATCAATTTAAGCATCCACACCGCAAATTCTTCTTCTGTTGATTATAATTCTATCTCGATGTACGACGCGTTTAGATAATATAAAAAAATATAATTTATTACTATGTCATGCTACTTGAGAACCTGTGATGTCAAATGATATCGATCGTTGAAAGTAAAAAAAAAAAAAAAAATTGCCTTTCGACGATGAACAAATGAGGAAAGAACCTTGGAATGAAGATGAGAACGATTTCGCGTGCTTTCGCGAGTAAAATGTCAGCGTCTGACTTTTCTCACGAGCGATGAAGCTCGGTTCACAAGCACGAGAAATCATATTCTTCGATACCATCTGAATTCATCGAATTTATTATCTTCGCTCTCAAATCTCCGATCGAGAGTAAATTCACTGACGGAAAGTAAAATCTTGCACTTTCATCTCGCGCTAGGAATAACAACGCGATTCTTGCGATCGTGAACAATTTGTGAGCACCGCATTATAGGTGCGACCTTTTCAATTTGTATTCTAACCTTTAGAAGGAGCGTTATACAACGTCGTCCGTGTGCTCAGGATGTGAAATAACGTTAAAACATAGACGCATCGAGCGTATAACGCACGGGACGGAGCTATAAATAGACGTTCCCATATAAAACGAAGTATCAAAGTTACATTAAAAGACTCCAAGTTCTTTCCCGGTGCTCTTATGGGGGAAAGAGAATGAATTGAAATTATGATCGCGCGCGGTTTCTTTGAGAGACTAAATGTGTTCGTTTTAATTTTGATTATTTTCATCGAATCTCTCATATAATTCTGGATCAATCACGAGCGTGATTCTGTTGATTGGAACGCTCCATTTTGAAACGATCGCGTTATTTTTAACTAATGTGAATGTTCCAATAAAGTTATCAACAATCTAAATTGATCCGACAACTTTAAATATTTATAGTTTTTATATCAATTTATAAAGTGGATGATATATGCTAGAGAGAAATATATAATATAATAATTTTCCAATAAAATGAGTGAATTAAAATTATCAATTGATACAAAATTATATTAAAATATAATCTAAAGTCACGTATCCGTTTGATTGTCAATCTCGTAAAAAATTGTAAATATCGATTTATAGAATTTATAGAAAAAAGTTATCGAGAAATTTTTGATTTATTAATAATGCAATAATATTGCATTATATGAAATAAAATATTTGTTTGAAAGATGCATTTTTACTTTCTTGTGTCTATTTAAAAAAATCTATTCCCACCACCCTTCTTGCTTTATTTTAAGTCCAATACTCGTGCTAATCACGTTAAGCACTTTCTTCAATACGATTTATTTCAAACATACGATTATATTCATAACAATTTTTTAATCATACTGAAGAAGCCTATCAATAATCTCATAATAATTATAAAGAGGTTTAATATCATATAAATATCAGAGAAATGGATGCAGTAATATATATGATATTACGAGTATAATAAACATCGATTAGTAAATGCCTCATAACGTATTTCTGTCGAATAAATGAGAAAAAAAAATATTGAAACAAAGATCCGGAAACGGAAATAAAATGCACGATCGCGATAATAGAAGAAATAAAACAAACCTTGCTTAATGACGATGCCAGCGGAGGGCACTTGGACAATCGGCAGCGGCGGATTATTTACGCCAGCGGAGGAAGCTGAAGCGGGGGCGGCTGCGACGGCGGCAGCAGCGGCGGCGGCGGCGGTGACGGTAGAGGGGACGGCGCCACCGGGGGTACCGGGGGGCGGCGAGGCACTGGTGCTACCCACGGAACCGGGATCGCTGAAGCCCTGGGTACTGTTGTTCTCCTCCGGGCCGTCGAAGAAGCTCAGGTTGAACTCACTGCCGGCGTCGAACGACACCTCCGGCGTGAGGGTGTCCGGCGCCGGGGCGCTGCCCAAACCCGCGCTCAGCGACTGATCGAGTTTGAAAACGTCCATTGTACGGGCATCGAACGATCATCGGCGTCGGCGGCGAACGACCTGGTGCACGAGGACGTCGGCGATAATCCAGCATTCGCGCGCGGGCGCGCGCGCCTCCCGATCCTCGAATGACACTTTCGCAGCTTTCGCGAGAGTTTTTTGTGCTCTTCGATGATGTATAAAATCTTTTGCCCCAGGCGATATCTTCCTTGATCCGCGAACGGACGAAGAGATGAAGAG